ATCCCATGCTTCTTGTAGGCTTTGTTCATTTCTTTTTCCTCTTTTTTCTTTAGACTTCTCTTTTCACTTCATTTCATTCATTTGATCCTCAATTGCTGATACTCTTCCTTGCAGTTGGTCTAGTCGGTTACTGAAGCTTGTGCATTTGCCATGTATTTCTTGTGGCATGGTTTTTATCTCTGTCAGTTCGTTTATGGCCTTCTCTGCATTGATTATTCTAGTTATCCATTCTTCCATTCTTTTATCAAGATTTTTAGTTTCTTTGCGCTGGGTACGTAATTCCTCCTTTAGCTCTGAGAAGTTTGATGGACTGAAGCCTTCTTCTCTCAACTCGTCAAAGTCATTCTCTGTCCAGCTTTGATCCGTTGCTGGTGATGAGCTGCGTTCCTTTGGAGGGGGAGATGTGCTCTTATTTTTTGAATTTCCAGCTTTTCTGCCCTGTTTTTTTCCCATCTTTGTGATTTTATCTGCCTTTGGTCTTTGATGATGGTGACGTACTGATGGCGTTTTGGTGTGGGTGTCCTTCCTGTTTGTTAGTTTTCCTTCTAACAGTCAGGACCCTCAGCTGTAGGTCTGTTGGAGATTGCTTGAGGTCCACTCCAGACCCTGTTTGCCTGGGTATCAGCAGCAGAGGCTGCAGAAGATAGAATATTGCTGAACAGCGAGTGTACCTATCTGATTCTTGATTTGGAAGCTTCGTCTCAGTGGTGTACCCCTCCGTGTGAGGTGTGGGGTGTCGGTCTGCCCCTAGTGGGGGATGTCTCCCAGTTAGGCTACTCAGGGGTCAGGGACCCACTTGAGAGGCAGTCTGTCTGTTCTCAGATCTCAACCTCCGTGTTGGGAGATCCACTGCTCTCTTCAGAGCTGTCAGACAGGGTCGTTTGCATCTGCAGAGGTTTCTGCTGCTTTTTTGTTTGTTTGTTTAGCCATGCCGTGTCCCCACAGGTGGAGTCTACAGAGACAGGCAGGCCTCCTTGAGCTGCTGTGGGCTCCACCCAGTTTGAGCTTCCCAGTGGCTTTGTTTACCTACTTAAGCCTCAGCAATGGCGGGTGCGCCTCCTCCAGCCTCACTGCTGCCTTGCCGTTAGATCACAGACTGCTGTGCTAGCAATGAGGGAGGCTCCATGGGCATGGGACCCTCTGGGCCAGGTGTGGGATATAATCTTCTGGTGTGCCGTTTGCTAAGACCCTTGGTACAGCACAGTTTTGGGGTGGGAGTTACCCGATTTTCCAGGTGTTGTGTTTCTCAGTTCCCCTGGCTAGGAAAAGGGATTCCCTTCTTCCTTGCACTTCCCAAGAGAGGTGATGCCCCGCCCTGTTTCAACTCTGGCTGGTGGGGCTGCAGCAACTGACCAGCACCGATTGTGTGGCACTCCCTAGTGAGATGAACCCAGTACCTCAGTTGAAAATGCAGAAATCACCTGTCTTCTGTGTCGCTGGTGCTGGGAGCTGGAGACTGGATCTGTTCCTATTTGGCCATCTTGCTCCGCCCCCTCTGCAATCAAGGCATTTCTTTAGAATTGAATTGACTTTTAATTCCCTATAGAAATTGAGGGCTTTTCCTTTAAGTCATGTTGACTGTCATGACTTTGAGTTGTATACAAAGGCCATATTCATGGATGTTTTTGGGATTTAATATGGTATAGAAACCCAGTCAAATTTCTAAAAAATATAAATACACACACAGTTTGTGGGTTTTTTTTTTTTTTAAATTGGAGATGTTAAAGAACTATTGTAGATCTGATTTTGGGCTAGTGTGAATAATTTGCCAACATTTACCCTGTTTCACTTCTCCTAGCCCAAGTTACCACTGTCCTTGGCAGGTGAGTGGTTCTCAAATTGTTCTTTGTAGACCATATATCTATTTCAGTTCTCTGGGGTGCTTGTTAAAATGCACATTCCAGGGAGATATCCTACACCTACATCTTCTTACTTGGAATTTTTGGAGTTGGAGTTGGGAAAATGGAATGGTTAACAGCTCCCTAACTGATCTTTATGAACTCTAGAGTTTGGGAAGAATTGATCCAGACTATCTTTCTCAGAATTTACATGGTTGACAACGAATGTGATGATAATGGTCCATTTTGATTCAGAGCTTTGTTTTGCTGGATCTCCATTTTCTGGATTTTTGACTTCTTCTTTGGAGTAGATTTGTATTAGTTTTCTAGGGCTTCCATAATAAAATACCACAGGTTGGGTGGCTTAAATAGCAGAAATTTATTTTCTCACAGTTCTGAGAGAGACTAGAACTCTAAGATTAAGCTGTCAGCAGGGTTGATTTCATCTGGAGGCCTCTCTCCGTGGCTTGCAGATGGATATCTTTGTCTTCATGTGGTCTTTCCTCTGCGTATGGGTATTGTTTGTGTCTTAATCTCCTCTTCTTATAAGGATGCCAGTCGTATTGGATTAGGGCCTGTCTATATGACCCAATCTTACCTTATTTATCTCAAAAGCCTGTATTTCCAAATACAATCCCATTCGAAGGTACTGGGTTAGAATTTCAACATATAAATTTTAGTGGGAAATAATTCATCTCATAACAGTCTAGATCTCAAAACATGATACGAATAAGTGAAAGATGAACACTTGATTTCATCTCAAGTTTCTTTCCCCATCCTGGCTCTGTTCATTTGAAGGACGTCTACTACTGATTGGTCTTTCTATTGGTCTCTCTTGTCTAAGGCAGCAGAAGGGAAGTAGGGACAATGACAACTTGCTTTTCATTGGCCCTATTCCTCATAAGGTTTGTTTCTTTGCTTTAGGCTCAACTGTTATAAATGACTAAGGGTGGCAGTTCTCAAAGGGAATCTCAGAAGTAAAAACTCTTGTAATAATATTAAGAAGATATTCTTTGCCTTTTTTATTGGGTGACATTTGCACTGATTGTGTAGAAGCAATAGTGGCTAAAACTTTTGGAGCTTTAGCATGACTTAACACAGTAGGACCAAACTGTATAGTAATCTTTATAATTTCACCACTGTGCATTTGCACTGCAGAAAAAAATGTCTGTTTCACTTAAGAATGCCCTTGATGAAATAATAAAAATTATTAAGTTTGTTAAATCTTAACCCTCAAGTACACATCGCTTTAGTATTCTGTGTGATAAAATGAAAAGTATGCATACAGCACTTTTGCTCCATTCAAAGTTTCAGTGGCTGTTTTGAGGAAGAGCACTGTGCAATTGAATTGTGAGCTGAACTAGTCTCTTTTTTCATAAAAGACCATTTTATCTTGAAAGAACAAGAGATGAACTATGATTATTTAGATTCAGGTGGCTGGCAGACATGTTTGCTAAAATGAATGAAGTAAGTGTATCACTTCAAGGAAGCAACTGATGGTATTTGTTGCCTGTGATAAAATTCAAGCTTTCAAGAGAATATTAGAATTTTAGAAAGCTTGTATCTGTTACTATGAGCTTAATAGCTTATAAGCAGTTGAAGATTTTTTCAGTGAGGTTGGTTATTAACGAAATGTGATTTTGGGGATATTATATAATGAAATGGGTCAACATTTGGGAATTCTGCATAACTCACTGAACCAGTGTTTTCAAAACAACCAATACAAGATGCTACAAAAGATCTATTTAAACTGTAAGATAGACCAACATATTTTAATGTAACATAGTATAAAATGTTATGGTATGATGTTCATGCAGATTATATATTGCAACTTAACCCTTAAGAAATTACCACTTGCTAAGTTTTGGCATATTATCAGAGAAGAATATCCACAATTGTCTGAAAAGATCATTACAAATACTCTTTCCTTTTCCAACCTCATATCTGAGTGAGGCTGGATTTTCTTCATTTATTGAAAGCAAAAACCTATCAAGATAGATGAAATCAAAAGCAGTTATGAGAATCTAGCTATCTTCTTTTTAAGCTAAACATTAAATAAATTTGCAAAAATGTAAATGTCATCTCACTATTTTTTTCTGTTTTGGTGTATACATAAAATACATTTTTAAACATGTAGTGAACTTATTCTTGCTGTTTTAAGATGAATTAATAAATACATGTTTAAAAATTTCTCAACTCCAATTTTTAATAAGGTGAATATTGGTAGATATAACCCATAAAAACAAAAGCTTTTTGGGAACTTCAATACTTTTAAAAACTATAAATAGACTTTGAGACCACAAAGTTTGAGGACTGCTGACTTAGGAAGACATTTTTCTAGCTATGTTGCAGTAAATTATTTAGAGTTAACTTTGATTCATAGTATGTTTAAAGAAAAATATATTCACCATGTAAATACTAAATATAGTAAACTTGACTTGCTTTTCTCTCATTGGGAGAAAAATCATAATAATGTTCCATATCAAAATATTCTCATGCATGGCTTAATGCCTAGTTTACCTTTGCTAATCCCAGATCAGTTTAGATAATCATGAACAAACTGGAAGAAAAAAAAGCCCTATATAAGAACTAATGTTTTCGAGAGCTTTTATCAATGTAGTGAAAATTTATTTAAGTTAACAGATTAAAATCTGCCCTATAAGAAATGCACTTGGAAATCTTCCCATAAGCATATTCTTTTCTTCATTCTGCCTGTTTTGTTGGGTTCCAATTTATAGGACATTTGTTTCCTTCCCTTCCTTCTCTTTTTTCTTTCTTACCTCTCCTTTCACTCACTTTCTTCCTTCTTTCCCTTTCCTTTATTAGAGCTGCGGGCATTTCTTTATATGCTGCAGTTTTTGGTTTCTGCCAGTGTCCTCTAAGAAAAGATGCTGACTTGGTAAACATGAACAAGGCATTGCCAAAGTGTAGGTCAGTCTTTGCATTCTCAGCTCTAGTACTTAAGTAGTATGTAAATTTCAAATTTCAACACTGGAGTCTGTGCTGTGTTTCTAGTCTTAGATTTCTAGATGCTATGAAGGAAGTTTAGGGGAAAGGATTTTAACTTAAAACTTGTACTTTCTGTAAGAAGAAATGACTTCAAAATACATTGTACTACTATACTGTGTTTTTCATAGATTTCTTTCTCATTTTTTCCTTTAGTCTAAAAGTCATTCCCGAGTTGGCCTGAAATCAAGCACCAAGCAAAAGGTATGTGTTTTCTTCTATATTGTTGCTTTAAAAAATAATTATTTTGGGTGGGTGCCTTTTTATTTTTTTTCCTTCCTGAAGAGAATGACTTGTCTTTGGACAGCCAGGGCATACCCAGAAACAAAGTAGTTTTTATTCTCATTTGCTTTGCCTTCATAATAGCAAAACTGAAATTGGAAAGGGATCCTTGAAATGAAATGTAATTTGAGGGAGATTCTTGAAACCCAGTGACAGAACTGGAGAATTTTCCCATGACTTACAAGCAATTCTGAAAGCAAGGTCAGAAGATACCGTACTATATTCAGCTTTTTTATTTTCTAAGCACTTCACAGTGAAGGAATTTGTTCCTATTTCAGTTCATATTTTTACTAAACTTTACTCTCTCAACATTTGTTGTGGAGAATGACCCTCACTCATGACCTGTGATGAATTGGTTAAAACACAAGCTCTGAGAGTCAGAAAGAATTGGTTTCAGTTCTTGGTTCTGCCACTTTACTATGTGATCTTGAACATATTTGTGTAGAGAAGATGATCATACCCACTAGGGTAGTATATGTTAAGGATAAAATGAGATAATATATGTGAAAACACTTATATCCCAGTACCTGGTGTAAAGTAGCCTTTTAATAATTTTGAGGTTCTATATTTCATTGATAGTTTAGAAATTCGAACAATTGAAAACTTGAAATTTCAAAATATTAATTCTCAAACGTACATGAATACACGCATACACACTTAAATTATGTTAATTCCTGGCGATACATGGGACAAGTTCAGAGAAGTTCATGTTTAACTTTAGAGAGGTTCATATTTACATATTCTTCCAGTGTAGAAGTTTACACTGATGGGAGTACTTGCCTAGCCTTTCAGAATAATGGACACAGTAACTCAGAATACCTTTCTTGATGCCAATTGTCAGAGAAAAAAACACTGCAAAAATTCAAAGCATCTAAGAGGTGCTGAAGAAGATTAAAAGAGACAACACATGTGGAAGCACTAAGCCCATGCCTGTGTCAACAGTCGCTGTTTTTGTTAAAGAAACATTATGTTGATCGGGAAGATGGACAGACCCAGGTTCCTACCCAGCTCCAATACTTACCACATACAAAGAGCTAACATTGATATGGCAAGCCCTATGCTCCAGGTACAGTACTAGCATTTTACGATGAACTCATTTAATAGTTTCAGTGACCTAATGAGGTAGGTGTTCTTGTTTCTCAGGGCTTGTCAGGAGAATACCACACCAATAATTGGAAAAGGGAATATAACTGGTTAATCGGTTGTAATGTTTTAACAAGGTAATGAAAAGGGTAAAAAGAAGGGTTGAAAGAGAGCTGTAAGGTATCAGGTAGGTAGCAGGCAATTCCAGGGAGCAGCTGCCGTCTCCAGGGGCTGAGGGAGCAAAGTAAGGAGCTGGGATTACTAACACTTCCTGGACACTTGGAAGGGCCCCACAGAGCTGAAATTCAGACCTCTGAGGAGGGGGCAGGTGCCAATGTCCCTGAGGGGCACATAATGAGGCTGATTCTGGAAAAACTGCAAACTGACTCAGTGGCTCTGTAGCAGGGAAAAGAGGATGGTATTGCCGAAGCGAATTTCATAGGAAGTACACAGGAAGGAGCAAGTTCTATGTTCCTCCTCCGGCTCTGCCCTTCTTGCTAGCGCCCCCTACTGTCAGATGTTACAAGAAGCAGCTGACTCAGCAGAAATATGGTTCTCAGAGTTCTAGCCCCAAGCATCACAAAGCAGATTATAGAAAGGTGGGCTTGGAGATGAGCAATGATAATTTAGTAACTGGCACAATCATTAGCTCCATTTTTCAGATGAAGAAACCAAGGCACAAATATATTAAGCTATGTTTGTCCAGACGCACACAGCTAGGTAGAGGCAGAGGCAGAATTTAAACCTAGTCAGTCTGGATCCAAAAGTTTATGCTCTTAACCCCTTAAACAAGTGACTATGGACAGAAATACTTTTCTGAGTCTTTTGTAAAATGGAGATAATACTTCTTAATGTGTAGGGCTGTCGTAAGGGTTAAACAAAACAATATATGTGCTGATCATATCTTATACTTCTTGGCACATAGTAGGTTCTCAGTAAATACTAATTCTTGTTAAATATATTTTTCTTGTTTTAAGTATGAGAAGTTCATTTTGCCTTGGTGACTTTATGTGTAGTTTTAAAAGTATCTACATTGCGTTTGCCGTGGAGTGGTTCCATTGCCAGTGAGTTGTTTATTTAATTGATTATTATTTCTCCAACTTTACATGTTTTAAAGTTTTCTGTGTTGGAAAGTAAACAGCAGAGAAAAGTTCATCCTGGAGCTTGATCAGTGGCAGCTTTATTGAGGATGTCCTTAAAAACTCAAAATTTATCAGGGCCTATGTCAGAGCACAGAACTGGTCTTTCACTTCAGATTTTATTAAACTTATTCAATCATTATTTAATGCAACAATTATTTATTGGTGGCTAATTATACTGAATGCTGTGCTGGCCATCAAGGGTTATATAAACACTGATAGATGGACCCTGCTTTCAAGACTGTTTCTTACAATTTAGTAGTGAGTGTGATGCAACATCTCAGCTGCACATTCTCCCTCACTCTTTTTCATCTTGGCAGGTGTGTTATGTGTGTGTGTCTTGCTACAAAGATGTAATGCTATCTTGTGGGTAAAATATCTATTAGGCCTACTACCGAGTTGACCTATGTCCAAAGGAGATTATTGGGTGTAGGGAGGTATGAGGGGAGGGCAGCTGCCTCTCCTGAAGGACAGTCATTCATTAACTGGGGAAGAGACAAGTGTCAAACTAGACATAGGGAATTAATGGGAAAGGCCGAGAGGCCAGGCACACTGGAAAGCTCTTGGGTCCCTGGTGGTAGGTGGTAAGAAGTTTGCATGCAGGGATGTGAGAGTTAAAGGGTCCAGGCTGGATGCCATGATGCTTAATGGGCCTTTTTGCTCTAACGTGGTTGATAGCTTGGGAGACAGGGTCTAGGACAGCCAAGACCTTAGAGTCCTGGTAGTAGGTAACTGTGATAAGATCAGGAACCTCTTTTATATAAGTCAATCTTCTTAAAAATGGTTTATTCCCCCTCTCTGTTTACTTTCTTTTGTTTAAAAGTGCCAACTGCCTGAGTAGCCCTAAATGAACTAAGGGAAGAGCTTTGTGTGGTACTTCAGTCAGAACATTAAGGGGAAGCTGGCCTTAGAGGCCAGCAAGTTCTAGTGTTGATGTCCAAGATCCTCGTGAGCAAATTCCAAGGCCATAGTCATGTGGTCAAGATCTTGTAGTTTTTTCTGGAAATTCTGGAAAAATTAAAAAGGTTAGGTTTCGTGGAGATATATTTTGTAGGACACGGGAATACCCAAAACCTGCCCTTGATCCCTGTGGCTCAGGAGAATCAGAGGAAAGTAAATGAATACAGGACCAAAACTTGCACATGAATATTGTTTCCCTAATGTAGAACTTCAGTGAGCTGTGCTGAGAGAAATAGAAGACTTTTGTCTCCATTCCATAAAATCTACTCACTGCTCCCTAAGTATCTTTTCAAGAGTAATAACAATAGTAAAATAGTATGCAGTCAATGCTCTGGTTGCTTTACAAACATTCAGTGGCTGTATTGTTTTCATTAAATTTTTTTTTCAGATTATACTTCATTTTTAAGAGCAGTTTTAGGTTCACAGCAAAATTGAGTGGAAGGTACACAGATTTCCTGTATACCCTCTGCCCCTTACCATGCATAGCCTCCTGCATTGTCAATATCTCCCACCAGAGTGATACATTTATTACAACTGATGGGCCTGCATGGACACATCATTATCACTCAAAGACCTTACCTTACATTAAGATCCATTCTTGATGTGTTAGGTCATTCTTGTGTTGCTATGAAGAAATACCTGAGACTGGATAATTTATAAAGAAAAAGGGTTTAATTGGCTCATGGTTTTGCAGGCTGTACAAGCATGGTGCTGGCTTCTGCTTGACTTCTGGGGAGGTCTTAGGGAGCTTGGCAGAAGGCGAAGTGGATCAGGCGTGTCACATGGTGACAGCAGGAGCAAGAGAGAGAGCAAGGGGGAAGGTGTCACACACTTTTCAACAGCTAGTTCTTGTGAGAACTCACTATCACGAGAACAGTACGAATGTGATAGGGCTTAAACATTCATGAGAAATCTGGCCTCATGATTCAGTAGCCTCCCACCAGGCCCCACCTCCAACACTGGGGATTACAATTCCACATGGGATTTAAAGGGGACAACATCCAATCTGTATAACTTGGTGCATTACACTATATGGGTTTTGACAAGTGCATAATGAACGAAGTGTATCATTACAGTATTATATAGAATAGTTTCATTGTCCTCAAAATCCTCTGTGCTCTGCCTTTCATCCCTTTCTCCCCCCACAACTGACAACCACTGATCTTTTCACTGTCTTCATAGTTTGCTTTTCCCAGAATGTCACATAGTTGGAATGATACAGTATGTAGCTTTCTCAGATTGCCTTCTTTCACTTAGTAATAATGCATTGAAGTTTCTTCCACGTCTTTTCATGGCTTGATAGCTCTGAACCTTTCAGCACTGAATAATATTTCATTGTCTGGATGTACCACAGTTTATCCATTCGTTCACTGAAGGACATCTTGGTTGCTTTCAAGTTTTGGCAATTATGAACAAAGCTGCTATAAGCATTCCTATTGGATGGACATACGTTTTCAACCCTTTTTTGGTAAATACCAAGGAGTGTGATTGCTGGCTTCTATGGTAAGAGTATGTTTAGTTTTGTAAGAAACTGCCAAACTGTCTTTTGTATTCTCATCAGCAATGAAAGTTCTTATGATTCCACATCCTTGCTAGCATTTGGTGTTATCAGTGTTCTAGATTTTGGTCATTTTGATAGGCATATTGTGTTATCTAATTGTTTTAATTTGCATTTGCCTGATAACATATGATATGGAGCATCTTTTCATATGATTATTTGCCATATGTATATCTTTTTTG